TGTTGCTTGTAAAATGATGCGATGGTTGTTCTTAAAATCAAGTCCTATTCCTTAACACATTTACCATTGGCTGAGCAGGCTCCGACCACCTCCTCAGTTACCTTTGCTCACTACATTTCCGTCACACCTGACATCTTTCCTCCCTTGTCAGTAAGCGCTACTCTTCGCCTTCCAGGACGCTTAGCCATCCTGTTCCTCCAACTAGACACCTTTGGCCTTTCTCTCCACCTGAGATTCGTGCCACTGCAACTTCCAGACGTGACAGAGCAAGATCACTGTCTCAAAATAAATAAAATAAATAAATAAATAAATAAATAAATAAATAAAATCAAAATCTTTTGCCTTGCAATCGTTTGTCTTAATGTTTGGCCCTTGATGTCTTAAAGCCCACAAATTTCCATAAAAACAGAGATGTATAGCAAAAAGCACACGTAGCATAAATTCTCTGAAGAAAGCAGAGAATATAAATGAGTAAATTTGCTCCATTTAACAACATTTGTTTGAGTTGCTTTGTATAAAATATGGCAGATTCTAGTCTGGTGTGCGAGGTTACCTGAATCTTTTGTAACCTCCTCATTGTTGAGTGTCCAGGTTGTCCCTTCTCGAGAATATTCCACTGGCCCTACTCTAAATCTCCTCTTCCCACCACCAGCACCATTTTTCCTCCAACCAGCAATCTCCTTTTTCTTCTCAAGAAAGCACCACGTCACCAATAATGCAGTAACTAAATGTTGATGTAGATACATATTTATATTCACTTTTGTTTAAAAAAGCACCTTCGGTAACCTCCACCGCCCAGCTAGCAATCATCGCCATATTTTATAACAAGCACTCCAACAAATGTTAAGTTAAATGCGAGCATTACTCATCTTATATCCTCTGTTTTCCAGAGAATTATGGTACGTGAGCTTTTTTATAACATCTGCTGTTTCCTTAGAGAATTGTGGGGCTTTAGACATCACCAGGCAAACGATTGCAGAGGCAAAAGATTTTATACTTATTTTATTATTTATTTTATTTTTCTTTTGAGACAGAGGTCTTTTGGCTCTGTCACGCAGGCTGGAGTGCAGTGGCAATGATTCAAGTCACTGCAATTCTGCTCCAGGTTCAACGTGATTCTTCTCCATCAGCCTCCTCAAGTACAGCTGGGACTGAGGGTACTTGCACCGCAAAATCGCCCAGCTAAATTTTTTGTATTTTTTAGTAGCAGACCGGGGTTTCACCGTGTTAGCCAGAATGGTCTCGATCTCCTGATTTTCGTGATCCACCTGCCTTTGGTCCACAAGCTGTCTGGGATTACAGGTGTGAGCCACTGCTCCGGGGCCAAAGTTTTTTTTGTATATTCATATATAATGTTACATGCATATGTAGATATCAAAGTGTATATATATAATTTTGTCTGCCTTTAACATTTTTATTGTACAATAATCATGCATTGTAAAAAAAAAAAGGTGAAAATGTATACAACCAGTTTAAAGACTAACAAAATATGCATTCAATCACCAGCCAGGAGATGAAGAAATACTATTACTTCTCCCCTGGGGCTATTCAAGGCAGAGAGGGTCACATATAACCCCAAAGAGATGGCTCCGGGGAGGGTTGTGTTGTATTACATTGTTGGCATTGTATTATCCAGGTGAGAGATGCTGGCGGCTGGGCAGTGCCAGTGGGAATGAAAAGGAGAGATGGATTTGAAACATAGGAATAATCTCTCAGATTGTTTCTTGGCATCACTTACCTAAAATGCTTCTTTCAAATATGGACGTACACACCCCTCCCTTTAGGATACTTGGGACAATGTGCCACCTAGACATAGGGGATGGAACAAATTGGAGAGTCCGTCAATGCCCCCTGCAATCTTTTCCCTCCATGTTATCTCATAATGCCCCACAATTCTCTAAAAACAGAGAACATAAATGAGTCACTGGTTCATTCAACTGACGTTTGTTGAGTGCTTATGAATGTGGTGGCATTATTCTAGCTCTTGTGAGGTTACCAATTTTTTTTTTTTTTTTTTTTTTTTTTGAGACAGAGTCTTGCTCTGTCACCCAGTCTGGAGTGCAGTGGCACGATCTCAGGTGGAAGAGAAAGGCAAAGGTGTTCTAGGTTGAGAGAACAGGATGTGCTAACGTCCTGAGGCAAGAGAGCTTACTGACAGGGAGGGAAGATGTCAGGTGTGACCGAAATGTAGTGAGCAAAGGGTAACTGAGGAGGGCGGAGAGAGGAGAATCACTTGAACCTGGGAGGCAGAGGTTGCAGTGAGCTGAGATCATGCCACTGCACTCCAGCCTGGGTGACAGAGCAAGACTCTGTCTCAAAAGAAAAATAAAATAAAATAATAAAATAAAGTAAAATCTTTTGCCTTGCAATCGTTTGCCTTGATGTCTAAAGCCCCACAATTCTCTAAAAACAGAGATGTATAAAAAAGCTCACGTACATAATTCTCTGAAAACAGAGAATATAAATGAGTAATTGCTCCATTTAACTAACATTTGTTGAGTGCTTGTTATAAATATGGCATGATTGCATTATTCTAGCTCTTGTGAGGTTACCAATTTTTTTTTTTTTTTTTTTTTGAGATGGAGTCTTGCTCTGTCACCCAGACTGGAGTGCAGTGGCGCGATCTCGGCTCACTGCAAGCTCTGCCTCCCGCGTTCACACCATTCTCCTGCCTCAGCCTCCTGAGCAGCTGGGACCACAGGCGCCCGCCAGCACTCCTGGCTAATTTCTTTTTTCTTTTTTTTTGTACTTTTAGTAGAAACGGGGTTTCACCATGTTAGCCAGGATAGTCTCCATCTCCTGACCTCGTGATCCACCCACCTTGGTGAGGTTACCAGTTTTTTAAAAAACAAAAGTAATGCAAGATTGCTGATGAAAATTTGGAATATGAGAAAAGCATAAAGAAGAAAATATATCTTTAAGCACACCACCCAGTGTTAACATTCTGATCTATGTACTTCTAATATTTTCTCCATTTTCATATGTATACATACATTTATTTACATGCATATGTAGATATCAAAGTGTATATATATAATTTTGTCTGCCTTTAACATTTTTATTGTACAATAATCATGCATTGTAAAAAAAAAAAGTGAAAATGTATACAATCAGTTTAAAGACTAACAAAATATGCATTCAATCACCAGCCAGGAGATGAAGAAATACTATTACTTCTCCCCTGGCATCTCCCTCCCACCTTTACATAGCCAAATCCAGAAAAGATCTGTTTTCCTAACCTTGTTTGCCTATTGTATTATCTAAATTGCAGCAGGAGGGAAGCATGTCTACTTTATCCAATTTCACACAGACGCTGGAAGATGTCTTCCAAAGGATTTTTATTACTTACATGGACAATTGGCGCCGGAACACGACAGCTGAGCAAGAGGCCCTCCAAGCCAAAGTTGATGCTGAGAACTTCTACTATGTCATCCTGTACCTCATGGTGATTATTGGAATGTTCTCTTTCATTATCGTGGCCATCCTGGTGAGCACCGTGAAATCCAAGAGACAGGAACACTCCAATGACCCCTACCACCAGTACATTGTAGAGGACTGGCGGGAAAAGTACAAGAGCCAAATCTTGAATCTAGAAGAATCAAAGGCCACCATCCATGAGAATACTGGTGCGACTGGGTTCAAAATGTCCCCCTGATAAGGGAGAAAGGCACCAAGCCAACATCTGACATCCAGACACGAAGAGATGCCAGTGCCACGAGGCTAATCCAAATTGTCATTGCTTAGAAGAAAGCGAGTTCCTTGCTCTCTGTTGAGAATTTTCATGGAGATTATGTGGTTGGCCAATAAAGATAGATGACATTTCAATCTCAGTGATTGATGCTTGCTTGTTGGAGCAATAGTTTGTGCTGAAGACCTCTTTTGCTTTCTGGGCAAGTAAATGTCATTTTAATCAATGTCAGTGGTGAAAATAAAGTCAAATTTGAAGTAAAGTGTCTGGGCAGTGGCCGTGGGGATAGAAAGGAGAGATTTACAAATCATTGAATCTTCTTTCTCATGAAATATCATTTGTGTGTGACAAATTCAATTTATAAAGAACCCAGATGTATTATGTAGAAGCTGAGGCTCAAAAGCTATCACTTGCTTACCAGAGAGACATAGGAGCATTTATCTATAACATTAATTCATGAGTGTGGAGTCAGAAGAGATGAATAAGCAAACCATAAGGTTACTTTATATTTATTGTTTTCCTGGCCTTTAACCTATTTAGAAGTCTTAAGACAGAATGAACATTCCTCTTTTTTTCTTTCTCTTTTGAGACAGGGTCTCGCTCTGTCACCCAGGCTGGAGTGCAGTGGTGCAATCTCAGCTCACTGCAGCCTCAATCTCCCAGGCTCAAGTGATCCTCCCACCTCAGCCTCCCTAGTAGCTGGGACTACAAGCACGTGTGCCACCATACCCAGCTAATTTTTGTATCTTTTTTTGTAAAGGCAGGGTCTCACTATGTTGCCCAGGCTGGTCTCAAACCTGAACAAACATTTCAAAGGACAAACAATCCATACCAGAGAAGTCGAATATTTAAGAACTACCCAGTATAACAAGAACACATTTTAAAACTAACATTTAAAGTTTTGCAGAAAACTAATCTTAAAAAGTTCTCATAAGAAAAAAAGTTACAATTGTTGCTTTATAAATGTATTCTTTTAACTCAATTTAGTTTTCCTCTATTTACAATTACTTATTTGCATTTGTGTTTAAGAAACTAAAGGATACAGAAAGGGTCTAAATTGCTGATACCTTCTGAAGACCTAGACAGGAACTACTTAATATTTTACACCATGTGAGACAGGATATCATAGAATGTCAGGGCTGATCATTCTACTGTTGGCAGAGACCACTTCACTTACAGATGAAAAAACTGTAGTCCACTGAGAGGAGACGATTTCATTCACTAATTCGGTCAGGCAACATTGACCTACTTGGTTCACTGGCCTAGACCCCAGGAGCATAAGGATGAACACGGCTGGGCTCGGGGGCTCACGTCTGTAATCCCAGCACTTTGGGAGGCCGAGGTGGGCGGATCACCTGAGGTCAAGAGTTCAAGACCAGCCTGGCCAACATAGTGAAACTCCGTCTCCACTAAAAATATAAAAATTAGCCGGGTGTGGTGACAGGTGCCTGTAACCCCAGATACTGGGGAGACAGAGGCATGAGAATCGCTTGAACCTGGGAAGGGAAGGTTGTAGTGCGCGGAGATTGTACCACTGCACTCCAGCCTGGGCGACAGACGCTAAACATCATAGTACAATATGACAAGGTCCTAACAGAGATCAATGCCAAGGGGACACAGCCAGCCAGCACAAGGACAGGAGGACATGTCTAACACAGGTCAAGATCTTCTCTCTCAGAGCAGTGGAGAGTAACAGGTCAACGGCAGCAGAGAGATGTGGGGCCTCGGCATCCCATAGCTTCATGCCTCCTAGTCTACCCTGTTCTTCTCCCTACACCCCAGCCAAGGCACAGCAATGATGGGCAAGGCCTCAAGCCTCAGGGTGCTAGGACAAAATTTAGAAAAAGAGGCTCTTCTTCAGAGAATGCTTATAGAACTCCTTATTCTAACCACAAAGTTTGTCTCTTTAAAATTACAGAGTGAGATATACACAAGGTATCTACTTCCTAACAGATTTGCAATTATGCCACATGAAGCATTCAGTACAGTGTTAGAGAAAACTATCCATATTCCAAGAGCAGATGTAGGAAGAGTGACCTCCCTCCTCAGATCAGAAACCCAGAAATGCTGTCCCACCCAGAAACATCCATCTCAGAGAGGCCAGAGCAGCCATCAGGCTTTAAATCCCAGCCCTCTGCTCTGCATCTAGACAGAAAACCAAGGTTTCCATCAGGTGACAAAGACCCTCTCCTTAACCAAATTTTCAGGCTCCTCTGAGCCCTCTTCCTGACTACAGCCCAACAGTGCGCTATAAAAACTACAGACTCTTGGCACAAATGATTTCGCCCACCTTCGCACACACTAAGAGACTTAAACGCTAGCATAGCTTCTAAGAGCTGAAAGCTAAAGTGCCTGCCCGAGAAAAGTGAACGCCGCCTGAAGAATTTACCATTTGTTCCAACCAAAACCTGGTGACAGGCAGATAGTCCCCTGATCCCTCTCTTAAAGCAGTTACTTTAGAAAGTTTCAATTATAAATCCTTTTTCTCTCCCTTGAGATGTAAATCTTCTACCATTCAGAACTGTACTGTCTCTTTGAAATGCAAACATTCAAACTCTCTTTGCTAGATGGGTGCCTTGCTCTAACTTTCTGCCCCCCATCATAGGCAGAAGTTTGCTTCTCCTCTAGATATGAGCCAATTAACAAACACAGATCACACTGACCAACCCCTTCCCACTTTTTATGCATTTCCACTTCCTTGACTCTGCTCAAGCCCCATCCCCACTCAGTTACCTTTGCACAAAGGGAAGTTGAGCTGGGCCTCTTCCCTCTGGCAATAGCTGATGATTTCAGTCAATCCTTACTGCTTTAACTAGTGACTGGCTTTCTTTACCTTTGACGCAGGTAAACACATGGAGAGCAAAATCGAGGTTTTTCTGGCGGGGTGCAGTAGCTCATGCCTGTAATCCCAGCACTTCGGGAGGCCAAGGTGGGAGGATCACTTGAGGTCAGGAGTTTGAGACCAGCCTGGCCAACATGATGGAACCCCATCTCTACTAAAAATACAAAAATTAGCTCGGTGTGTTGGCGGGTGTCTGTAATCCCAGCTACTCGGGAGGCTGAGGCAGGAGAATTGGTTGAACCTGGGAGGTAGAAGTTGCTGTGAACCGAGATTGTACCACTGCACTCTAGCCTGGGCGACAGAGTGAGACTCCATCTCAAAAAAAAAAAAAAAAAAAAATCGAGGTTTTCCTAATTAAGTACATTTTATTATCATCACTGAAAGTACAGGTGATAACATAGAGGGTTATCAGCCAACTTCACTTTTGGGGGATGAGAAATGCTGAATCTCTCCAAGCATGTTGGGTGTCTAGTGGTTGAAGCCATCTGCCAAGATTGACACTCTAGGATCCATGCCCACCCAACCTGGGCTTTTCACTTTCAACCCAGCAACTGAAAATGTCAGTTCAAACAACTTGCTGTTTTTTCCTACCCCATTTGCTTTTAAAGTTCCTTCTGCCTGTTCTACTGGCTCCATGTGACCGGAATATCACTTATTTCGTAAAGCATAGTTCAGATGTTATTTTAAAAGGAGCCCAGGATAGTGGCTGATTTGATAGAATCTAGACCCAGATTACCCAGGGTCAAGTCCCAGCTCTGGTACTTGCGGCCTTTAAAACCACGGAAAAATTACTTTAATCTCTTTGTGTCTCCATTTCCTCATTTGTGAAATGGTTCTCATTATAGCACCTCCCTTACAGCCTTGTTATGAGACTTAGGCAATAGCCAGGAAGTGCTTAGAACAAAGCTATTTTTGTAACGTTCTCCAGGAACACTTCCCTTAACAGAACCAAGCCCTCCGCCCCTCAGTTTTTGACTCCCTCCACACCCTCTACCATTCTAACATAACCACAAAGAGTCCTGATGGGATTTGGAGTTACGCTGCCTGGGTTCGAATCTCAATTCTGCCACTGCCAGTCGCGCATTTTCTATTGCCAGCCACGTTACTCCCCCCGGCCTCAGTTTCCTCATCCTTAGAAGGGGAGCAGAGCACATGGTGGTAACTCCCTGCACATTCCTCTCGTTCCTTGTATTGGGTGCCCAGTTTGTGCCCTCCCATGGCGCTAGCACTGAGTGGGCTCAAACTCTGCACGCGTTTACTAAGCATGTTGACTGAAGAAATGTGGGAACCTAGTACCGGGGCACCATACCGTTACCCCAAAGGAAAATGCATGCACTTTGTCAGAGAAGACGAACACCGCGTCTGGAAACCTCTTAAGGGCACCCACGTGTCCTCGGCTGCAGACAGCAGCGAGGAGACACCCAGGTAATGCGAGACAGCGGAAGGCGGAGGGGTCCCGCGACAACCCACCCTCCAGCTCAGGTGAGTGCAGAGCGAGAACACACCGTCAGGCTTTGACAAAGGCACCCGATCCACACCCCAGCGCCTCCCCACCGGGTCCTACGTCGACTTCAGCCTCCAGCCACAAGACCGAGAGCTGCTGGCCCGGGCTGCCCGCTTGGGCTCACTGCGCCTGCGCACGGAGCGGCGCGCCCCAGGACGGCTGCCCGGGCCCACTGCGCCTGAGCACGGAGTAGTGCACCCAGGTCGGCTGCACTGGCCCATTGCGCCTGCGCACGGAGTGGTGCATTTCGGGACATGTAGTTTTCCCCGGCAGGACGGTGGAAGTCGTGGTTTGTGTGCGGCCTGGCGCGGAAGGCTGAGCCACCGGGATCAGTAAGTGTGTGACGTTGGGTTAGGAGGGTGTGACCCAAACTCCAAAAGCTCTTTGGGGTGCTGCGATCTCGCGGCCGGCCCTGCGCTCGAGTTTTCCCTCCTAGACAAAAGTCGGCGGGCGCCCGGTCGCGCCGGGGCGGGGATCCGGAAGGTGAAGGCCGCCAGGACCCACAGCGGGGCGCCCCAGCCGGACCCGGCCGTCGGGCGCCGTCAGCCCGCTGAGCAGCGTGTTCCGGCTGGCACGTGGCCCGGGCGGGGCCCATGATTGGTTCAAGGCTACGGTGTTGGTCTCCGGCGGGTCTAGGGGGACGAGCAATCCTCTGGAATGGTGGGGGAAGCGATGACAGCCCCTGGCCCTCATCTTCCGCTTTGGGGGATGGGGGGGGTGGGGAGGGCAAGTGTTGCTCCCTGAGTGTTGGGGGAAGGGGGTGGGGAGAGGACCCTGAACTGGCCCCCGGGTTACCCAGGAGGAGCTGAGGCCCAGAGAGGTTCAGCGACTCGCCCAGGGTTGCACAGCGAGCACAGGCACCGACGTTGCCCTCTGGGGCCTGGACTTCCAGCAGGGAGAGACGCTGTCATCGCTTCTTGGCGGATCCCTGAAATGTTGAGTTGTGGAGTCTGGGCAGCTGAAATCGGGCAGGGCTGGTTTCTTGAAGGTCAAGGCCCCCGTGTAGAGGGCCAAGTCATGCCCAAGGTTCACCTGGCAGCCCCCTCCCTGGACCTACCCCTCCTTATGATTGGGTGAAGGGTTGGGTGAAAAGGGTAGAGACCGGGAATAAGAACAGTTTCAGAAAGTTCGGACAGAGGGCGCAGCGTGATTAGTGACTGGAAGGAGACAGCAAGCAGTAGACTGATCCTTCAATTTGTTAGGTGTGCCAAGAAGAAAAGGTATTAATAGATTGTGGACGACACATTATCCATATTGCTTTAGTTGGTCTAATCAAAATAAGCGAATAGCTTTTTTGTTTCTAAGAGAAACCTGACAAAGGAAGACAGGGTATTCTTGCAGTGAAGGAAATAGAAATATTTGGAGTTGTATCTAAGCCACTTGTTACTTTTGTGTTTTAAGCTAAGATCGTGGATAGTTCCAGGGAAAGTTAAAAATTTCCCGCACTTCATAGATTTTATGCCCCTCAAAAACGTCCCCACCTTGTTGGCTTTTGCAGTTCAACCCTCAGATACCAGCTGCCTGTTTTCTAATATTGCATCGGGTGTACATATGGCAGCAGAGTGATACTTTTAGCTTTTTTCTTCTCATTTGCCAAAGGCTCTATGAAAATGGCTGGCTTGGGCATGTAATTGAAGGGAGGTGGGGAAAAGTGGTAATTCAGAGGGAGTGGGTGGAAATGAGCAGGGCAGATCAGGGTGGTTCACCCTCTTGACTCCCACCTCACTACAACCCTTCTGCTGCTATTGCGGATTAAATATGTTTCTTTCCTAAAGAGCTTGAATTTTATCACTCCAGGTAGGAAGTTGAGGCAGCTGCCAGTATATTTTGGCAGTCAGGTTCTGTGATATCAGAGAGGATGGTGAATTGTGAATTCCAGAGTTGCAGAATTGTTCTTTAGATTCTGATTTTTTAAATGACAGCACTTTGGTTCAGAGGGTCAATGACTTACCCCAGGTCATATGCCACTCCATGGGTGCCACCAAGAGTAGAGCTCAGATCTCCGATTCTCCTGGTCCTTAGGCTACTGATCTTTATTCCCTGCCCTGCTGTGTTGGAATGACTGCATTTTGCCCTGGATGTCACTAGCCTATATCCTTCAGCTTGGCGTGTCCAGTCATGGAAGGAGAGAGATTTAACATAACAAGAATGGCTGACATTCAGTGCTTTCTATGTGTTGGCCATGGTGCTTAGTGTTTACAGTCTAATCTGCAAGAGAATTTACAGACGGGCAAGTTGAGGCTGAGAGAGGCCAAGTGACTTGTCCAAGGTCACACTGCTAGTGCACATAGCACATGTTTTCCAGAGGGCCAGACCGCTGGATGGTTTTTCATTCATTTCCTCCTGTAAGATCGTTGGACCTATTTCTCGTTCTTGACTTTGGGAATCAATATTCTACGTACATCAATTCACTGGGTATGCAGTTTTGTCTCAGAAAATTTTCAGGGAACAGCCAGACTCATCTACTATATCTGTATACAACTCAATTAAAGCAGAAATTGTAAAAATAAAATTTGTAAGACCTTTAACATTTTAATATACAACATAGCTATTCACTAAGATTATTAGAAATACTCAAAGTGAAAATTGTAGCAACAGGTTATAGCATGTTAGGAGCATATTTCTTTAGGGCAGGTCAGAATCTGCTGCTCTTTAAAGACAAGTGGGCCATTTACACATGAAGATAACGAGCACGTCCAGCCACCATCATTACAGTTAAACAGAGCTACGATTTAAATTCCTATCGCTACCTTATCTGACTTTGAAGAAGTCATGGGGAAAACTTGGCTACCTTGTGCCAACTGCTAGCTTATTTTCAAGATATTATAATCTGGAATAGATGGGAGATCTTTGTAATTGAAAGTTTTTAAAAAAACATCTTGCCTGAAGTTCATCTTATCCCCGTTCTAAAGGCCTCTGACATTTTCAGCCACTTTTCTTAATTATGACGGTAAGTACACTTCAGGAAAAGTGTTTCACTGACTTTTGAATGCAAAGCTCTCGGCCTGTGTCAGGATAGTGCCAAGGTTAGAGCCCTGGAGCCAGACTGGATGGGTTCGAATCCCAGCCCCCCTGTGAGACCCTCGCTGTGTTACTTAAATTTTATGTCCTCCGCTCTAAAGTGGAGGCAATAAGCTGTCTCATGGGGTAGTTGTGAGGGCTAAATGCCTTAACCCGTCTAAGCACTTTAGCCACCTTTTTGTCTCTGACACAAAAAAGTTAAGCTATGATTATTGTGCTATAAAGCACTGAATTTCAGAAAACATAGGGGCAGTGAACACGATCTGCTTGACGCCTTTCTTCACCTACAGATGGGACTGAAGCCCCAGCGGAAAGTCACTTACCAGAGGGTGTAGGTTCTTCATCCAGAGCTCAAGTCTTCTTGGGGTACGTGTCATATTCTAAGAGTAGTGACCTACAAGACCTTGGAGGGAATCCCAAGGCTTGGGCTGCCGGCCCTGCCTTCTTCCTTCCATATGCCACGGTGTGGCGTATGACCTGGGGTAAGTCATTAACCCTCTGAACCAAAGTGCTGTCATTTAAAAAATCAGAATCTAAAGAACAATTCTGCAACTCCGGAATTCACAATTCACCATCCTCTCTGATATCACTTCCTTCCCCATCTTCTACTAGGTCTCCCTCAAGCTTTAGAGAGGATTCTGCATCTGAATTGCATCCGACAGTTTTTCTGCCCTATCCCTTATTCCCTTGCTCCCAGATCATCTTCGAAAAACCAAATTGAACTTAATTGACACTCAGAGGACTTGACAAAGACACTCACTCCCAAACGAGCTTGTGTTTCGGTCTGGAGGCAGGTGGAGGGACGGATTTTAGACTTGGGCTCTTAGGTCCACAGATGAATGGGATGGGAGCCCATGTTCCCTCAGGAGAGATGCTGTGCTGCTGGGGGCTACAGAGAGCTGCTGAGGAGAGCTTTCTGCTCAGCAAGGGCCAGGCCTTTCTGGGCCCTCACCCAGCCCATCCACTTCCCACCAGTCTCTCAGTCGCCTTGTCAAGGACACAGCCCACCTCTCTGCGGAGTTGGCTTTCTGTTCACATGCCCTCTCTCCATCAGAGAGACACCTTTCTAAGCTGGTCTGCCCTAGGAACTCCAAACTATCCTGTTTCTTCCTGCCCAGATCAGACCTTCCAGCTCCCTGGACTTGACCTTCCAGCTGCCTCTCATGTACTTGTCTGTTGGGGGTTTGTGTTGATCAGGAGTGAATTCACAGTCTACCATGAACTGGAAGGTGAGTGTAGTTTTAAATATTTATGGCTTGGGGTGTTTTTCTTCCTTCTGATTGTGAAAATTCAGAATAACAGTTCTATACAAGTAGACTGATTAAAAAGAAAAAGGTGAAAGCATAATATTTATGTTTCATTTTAAGTTAAAACGTAAATGTACATTTACTCACTGGACTTCTGGAAGAAGGCCAGGCCTTTTCTTTGAGTGTACATTCACTAACTTCAAATCTTCCTCACTTGTTATAAAAACTATATACCTTTAAAGCTTTACCTGCAATTTTGCATTGTGCTTTCTTTTTTTATGCTTTTTTTTTTTTGTAGAGATAGGGCTCCACTATGTTGCCCAGGCTGATCTTGAACTCCTGGACTCAAGCCGTCCTCTCGCCTGAGCCTCCCAGAGTGTTGGGATAACAGGATTGAGCCACCGTGCTCGGGCCATTTTGGTTCCTTTAAAGTAGATGCAGTGGACTGAATATTTGTGTTTCTCCAAGTACATGTGTTGCAACCATAGTGCCCAGTGTGATAATATTTGGAGTTGGAGCTTGTAAGAGGTAATTAAGTGATGAGGCTGGAGCCCTGATGTTTGGAAGAGTGACTGTATTAAAAGGGCTCCAGAGCGCTCTCTTACCCTCTTTCTGCCGTGTTGGGGGTACAACAAGAAGCCAACTGTCGGCAGTCTGGAAGAGGGCCCCGCTAGAACCCCCTGTACTGCACCCTGATCCTCAGGCTTCCGGCCTTCCGAACTGTGACAAGTACCTCTTCAATAAGTCACCCCGTCTGTGGTCCTTTGCTCTAGGAGCCTGCATTGACTGAGACAGTGGATTAAGATCTTATGAGCAGTGCACACACAGAATCTTTCCAGCATTTCACGCTCTTCCCTCACCTTTCACAGTTGTCTTGCCAACAGCATTTTTTTTCCAACTCAAACTTGAGTCTTTCAAAGCATTCAACTTAGTTTTCATAAAAACTCTTGCTTTATACAGTCATATTTCACAAGTGTGATGTTTAAATAAGTTATGGAACATAGCACCAAGTACAACTTAAATAAACTGGTTGGCGAGTAAACACACCTGACCCCTGTGAAACATTAGGTTCAACTGGCAGGAGCAGAAGTTCAAGGGCAGCCAGGGAGTAAGTCAGCAATCAGGTTTCACCGAGAGAAAGGAGAAGGTCGTTGTAAGTCCCGGAAGTCAATAAGGTGAGGTGAAGGTTGTTTAAGAGAACAGCCACTAAAATAATGTTTATTGTAGTCACTTTGCAAAGTCTAAAATCAAGCAAAAGTTGTACATCGTCTCACCATCTAGAAATGGCTACTATTAACAATCTCGGTATATTCACTTTTTCTGTATATATGTGTGGCGTGTTTTCATACATAGGATCTTATTCTGTGTGTTTTTTTCAATTATTATAAGCATTTTCTTCAAAACATCCAGTGGTTTGCTATCGCAAGGAGAAACTGGAAAGGTCTGGAAGCAGGATCCGGGAGGCAGGAAGGTAGCTTTCCCATCTTCCCCAGCTCTGTGGGGCGAGGGGCTTGGCAGGCCCTGCAGGAGGGCCGAGGGCCCAGGACCTGGTGTAAGTTAAAGATGCAGAGTGAGTGTTCTGTGAAGGGTTGGAAGATATAGGAGAGTTTGTTTAGAATGCCTTGAGGATCAGAGCTCACGGTGGAAAGGCTGGGAAGAAAAGAAGAGGCAGTGAGAGGATGGAGAGGGGAAGGAGTGGAACGCAGTGTGGGCCGAGGTTTAGGGAGGCCATTCACCCACTGCAGTGGCTAAGTCAGTAGAGGAGAGAGGCAGTAACTGGTACTAAGGGCTAAGGTTCAAAGCATTAAACCTAATGTCTCAAGGCGGTGTTTCTCACCCCCGAGCACTAGTTAAGGCAAGGATTTCGAGCCCGACTCCAGAGTTTCTAATTGGGTAGATCTGGCTGGGGCCTGAGAATTTGCACTTCTCACAAGTTCCAGGCGGTGCTGGTGCACACTGGTCAAACGCAATGCGTGGGGAGTTTTCCTCTTTAATTGTGGAGTGACACCAACCCACGTGACCACTCGGGCCAGTCTTGCTTGTGACAGTTTTTTCTGCCATCAGGAACAAAATCTGCCCAAACCTTCCCAGCTTCTGCACCGTGGCTTCCAGGGAGCAGCTTTGTGTTTAAACACAGCCCCATCTCATGTAGTGTTAGAAAGGATACCTTGAAAATGGGAAAATAAGTTTTTTTTTTTTTTTGAGATGGAAGTCTCGCTCTGTCATCCAGGCCTGGAGTGCAGTGGTACGATCTCGGCTCACTGCAAGTCCGTTACCCCCCTGCCCAGCCCCCCGAAGTAGCTGGGACTACAGGCCGCCGTGCCACCCACGCCCAGCTAATTTTTGTAATTTTGTCGTAAGAGTGGGGGTTGTCACCGTGTTAGCCAGTGGTCTCAATCTCCTGACCTGCCGTGTCCGCCCCGCCTCAGCCGGGAAATAACTAAGTTTTAATTAATGGGCCACAACTTGTTGCTAAATGCACAGGTAGCATTGTAGACTGTCACGCTGGCCCATGGCCCACTGAGCCAGAGGGGCAGCACCGATGCCCCCGGGGGCTCAAACTTCACCTGTCCCAGCTCCTC